ATCATGTTGCTTGCATTTGGATTGATATTCGCACGCGCGTCCGTATGAAATTCGAGAATTTCATCACGCTCTGTTTGCGACGGAACTTCAGCCATCACAGTTGAAAGCAAAATAAATAAGTAGATGAAATCTATCATCTTTAAAAAGGAAGCAGCGTCGACGACTTAAGCACAAACTATGGTAGCAGTCAAATTAATTGTACCGCACTGCCCATCGTCAGTTTATATAGACCATTTTTTCCAATGATTAAAGAGAATCCAAATTGTGTGCAATTAATGGCGCGTTGTGCAATCCCGGTTAGGAATTAAAAAAACTACTTATTATAGTTGACGAGGCTATAAAAATTTGGTGTATGTGGGGGTAGAATTGCGGTGGCAGTTTCTGGCAACTCAGTGCGACTTCATATGCGTTAGTCATTTTTGTGTTGCCTTAATAACAACATTATTGGAAAAATGGAAAATTTTTCAAAGCACAATTTTGCAAAAAAAAATAAAAGCACAGTAAACAAACCTGCTGGTCGTGGTACATGACATGAAAGAAACGTTTATCATGATTTTAAACTACCCGCAAAATCGTTTAACTACCTAATAGGTTGAGAAAATTGAAGTCACTGTCTTAAAACCGTAGACCATCACATGCACTGATTATGCGTACATAGGGTTTCTTGTACAACTAGTTAGCATGTGTACTTATGATAAGGCTGAGCAGTGTGATAAGGAAACTGTGTAAGCAAATAAAACAGAGCTGTGGCAGCAGAATCGTGATAATAATTTCCTTTCATCAGTTGGCCTTTTACTCAAACTGGATCGATAAGGTGTTCGACCAAAAATTAAGTGATTTTGTTGAAAGGTGAACCATAAACCACGAAGATGCTAAGACGTCTTTAAGGTCTAAACAGGAATTTGGCAAAACGATATCTTTACAAATTAGACTGACACATTGTACTTCATTTAAAATAAATTACAGCAAATATATTATTTGGCTTTCATGTATTACAAGGACTACAGCATTTAATGTTCAGACACACTTTAAATAGTCATCACATGATCTTCTGCGCTCCAACACTTGACGAAAGATTCGATTTTAGTAAAACGACTGTTCTCTTAACACCGTGAAAACTACACCCATGTAAAATGTCTTGAAAAGTGCTTATTTGCACAGGAACAATGGTTGTGTCGAATGCGCCAAGACGGTTTGAACTGAAATCCACAGCTTTGAGGTTATTTCTAAGGTGAAGTTTAGTGGTCGAGTGCTGTATGTCTGACCGGGTGTGTCGCGAGCTGATTAGTGCCACCCTGAATTTAATTGGTCACTGCTCACGGGCACTTGGCAAACACCGTCTCACACTTGCTCGCTTTGACAGACCGGACTTAACTGAATGCAAGACAAGGATTGCGTTGCTATGCTGTGAATATTACTGGCTATTTGCTTTCATAAATGCAAAGTAGAACGTTAGAACTCATAACTTCCATTGAGAACATGAACAAAGACTGGTTCACCAGGAAGCCATGGAGAGAAGTTGGGAACGGCCAATGCAATCTATCCAATGTTCCACACTAGTGGACTAACGCAGAATCTACTACGGTTCTCATGCATTCTAAAATGGATTTATCATTCGGCAGCACACTAAGTAAGTAAAATACTGGAGAGCTATAATCGATATTCACGATTAAACTCCAGATTCATAATTTAAACGGTTGCCACATTGCTTCAACCTGTGGTTCGTCTGTTTGACCTGGCGTTTTAAAGGATGACCTAACTGCTGTGCAGCAAAGTTCACTGATTGACGCCTTCCATTATCTCATGGATTTAACAATATTTTCATTCTACTAAATTACCGAGTGTTCTATAAATACAAGGTGTCGTGTATGCTGCGTCTGAAGTCCCATTACACAAGATCAGAGAGCATATTATGTATTTTCTTTGGATGAAGTCATATTCCACTTTAATATGCTCGTTATGTTTTCTCCCGCATTACCACTGATGATGTCGATTATTCCAAGTATTCCAAATAAAGACAGCAATACAGTTTAAATAAAACAATTTTGTTAATTCACATGCGTTTTTCTAAGAGATGATTACTGATTCCCCTGTCACGGAGAGATTACATTTTTGATCCTAGGTCGGCGTTTTTATGTGCTTTGTGAATAAACGCAATCACACTGCAGCAAGAGTTTTCTCATTTTGGCCACAGCTCCAGTTATGTCTGCTTTTAAATCTCACACATGCGTCAAAATGTTCTACGCTAGTGAAACCAATGCCTCAAGAAGTAGAAAGAAAAAAAGTTGAGAAGGCCAGTAGGATTCAATTTTAATCACGTTCATATTCAAATCAATCCATCATTGATGTGAGAGCATGGCCGGTAAACACTGACACTCAAACCATTGCAAATTCTCTGAAATAAAGAATGAGCAGGAGTCGGTTAATCGACCATCATTGCTTCAGTCGCAGCTAATTCAAACACTCTCCTAACATTTTAATAATTTAACTGGTAAAAGCGTTTTTCAGGTATTACCGACTTCTCAAGACTGTCAATGTGATAACTTTTCCTTGGATTCTCAGCTTGATTAACTTTGTTTAGCATTACCAAAGTAGGAATGAACAGGCTTGCAAAGTCGAGTGAATAATGATGATACTTAATCTGTCTGAAAAGCATGGTTCATTATAGTGAGCTGGATATAGCAACCTGAATGAAAGGCGCGTCATTCTATACAACCATTTAAGAACAAAAAACCAAGTACAGATAGGCACGTTGTTTAAAACGAATATGAGAAGAGGGTTTAGTGAAAATTAAGGCCTGATGACATAGTATTGAGTAGTTTTGAGAGTATTTTTTTTTAAATCGCTTTGCGGATGATCTGAATACAGCAAATCATTCGTTTTCAGAATAATGCTAATGACTGAGAGGAAACGGAATATGCTTTGTGGCCATACTACCTAGACTTTCAAGGCTTACGTAACATTGTCTTCATGTGGGAAATCGCTTTAACTAGTCTATTCTGATAAATATGCAAAAGTTGCTCTATTACAATAAATTAAGTGCCAGAGATTATTGTGTTATAAAACTAGATCTACGTGAGAAATGGAAAAAAATATAGGAAGGGTTTGAGCTGGATGTCAAATGTTGGTAGTTATCAAGAATTATACTTTCAAGGTAATTGCATTTTTAAAGAATGAAAGCAAATTCAATTTTGATATAGCAATGATGGTTATTTTAATACCTGCGCTAGCATTAGGACACGAAAACAACATCCAAGCAACTACTACTATAATACATCTCGAAAATAAAATTTGCTAAAAAAAATAATGCAAAATAATATGCAATTGTTATGGACAATCGGCTAATTGACCTATACTATGCAATTTCGAGCGATAACTAATGTATGGTAATAAAAAGTGAAATAAAACTCTCTACACACCTAGATAATTATTTTATTGCTCTGCAGTGGTCCAGAACCATCAATGTCAAATTTCGTGGTTATTAACATCTGTAGAAGATCATAAAGAATGCACTTTCAGTATATCTAAAACCCTAATAAATTCGCCCCTAGATGATGTTCTGCCTGCTCTATTTCAGGTTTCAAATTAAACACACCATTTACTCAGGAACACCTAAATAACGAAGTCCAAATTAGCAAACGTTCCAGTTGTGGCGCTGAATTCCAGATAAAATCTATGAAAGAGGACCTTGCACTACTGGGATCACTACTTGTCATCTACCCCTGGCAAACTAGGTATATTGCACTGCCGTAATGGTCCTAAAATGGCCCCGAGCCTATATTCCTCTAAAAGCTTAACCTTAATCATAATCTAATCAGTTTGAATGAAAAGAATAGTTTTAAACTAATCGAATATTATGCTTGGGCCGACTGAAATCCATTAATGCAATTTAAGCTATAATTCTTTACTACGTGAGAAAAATATTTAATGAATCAAAATGTATCTGGTAGAGGCATGGTGCTTTATTCCATTTGTATTTCACAGAATGTTATATTACAGAAAATCAGATTACACATCTTGACAAAGGTAAAAGCAATAAGGTCACTTTAGAAACATTGCCATGAATGAGAATTTCTGGTTGTCAGTCTTGTATAAGTGCAATATTCCGTAAAATTATCACATTTTTTTACAACTTACACGACAACTGAATCAAAATTTATCAAGGCAAAGAGCTATGAAAAAAAATTTTGTCAGTTAGTTTATTAAAAGTGCCTTCAGAATTTTCATGGTTCTGTGTAATCGCACATAGCTACAAACGCAAAATAAACAGTTTTTGCAAACCACATCAAGCAATTGGGAGTTGAAGAGGATAACTCCATTCGAATACACCTAGGATGTGTTTTTAAAGCATTTGATTAAAAGCGTTCATGGAATTACTAAATTAATCTTGCCTTTTTCAAATGTGAAAAATGATAAGAACCACTATTTACAAATTAAATTATATGAATGCTGAATACTTGATTATTTTACACTGTTATGTGTGCTGCACAAACATTTATGGACCTTAAAAAACGAGGTGGAATTACAAATTGGTTCTGGAACACTTTAAATGGCAACCTCGAGGGATTCAAAAATCGCGTTCGTACAGGACAAACCAATCCAATTTCTAATTTATTTCCACCTGTCACACGCTTCTGTCTAAAACGACGTTGTAAATCACACAAAAGGTAAAGAAAAAGACGAAGTTAATTCCATTTTTAGTCCATCAGTTTCCAAGAAATGAAGGCAGAATATTTTGAAATTTTTAAGACTTCATTCTCTACAGTAAGAAGTCTATCCAGCAAGTAAAAGCAGCCCATAATTAGAAAACGTAAGTTTGAATGGGTGTACCAGTTATGCTTGGTGGCTTACTGTCAGACAGTTTGTGGCCGTCCAGTCAATGCGCTCTATCGAAAAATACGACACCAAAGACTTCAGACGCCAAACTGTATGTGAGGCTGGTAAGAGATCTGCGAAAGTACGCAAATCGTAACAACGATTGCATCAAAAAGGGAATAATTTTCGATGAAAATGATGTGTAAAAATCTTCTACACGAATCGTCTCCAATACACCAGTGCGAGTAATGGGCTTGTTCACATTGGTTATGCATCCAAAATACAGTAAGACGGGAATGGTTATGGTCATTTTGACAAAAAAGTAAACTAAACTCCTCAGGCAAAATGCAATAACCACGAGAAGTGGTCATGAACCTAGTGGGCGTGTAATGAGTGACAGGGAGAACCACAAGCTATCAAAAGTGGCGCCATTAGCTACCTTTACGGTGGCGGCAGTGCATAACATTTATTGCAAGTTAACAATCTCTCACCCCGTATGTAAGGTAATAAAAATCAGTGCGATGCATTTACGACCTTAGCCTGTCCATTACGATTTTATTAGTCTGCATCACCTTTGAGCTAGTGATTAGAACTATGTTGAGTGAATGAATATAATTGTATTTGCTATCATCGGCCTTGCCTTTCTTCTTGGGCTGTTACGGATTGTTGACTATTAGGGTTGTAAGGTAGTTCCAACAAAGCCACTACGGGAAATGCGATTAAGCCTGTGGCAAATTTAGTGGCTTGATGTGTTGAGCAATTTGAAAGTTTCACTGCTAGCTAACAATTTTAAAGCACTATGTGTTTATGACGCATAAGCTTATTCTGCCTGTCCATTACTATTTTATTGGTCTGCCACACTGGCTGGCTTTAGTTTGATTTTGCCAAATTTGGGAGCAGTTTTCAACGCATGATCAGTTCATTTAAAACTGAGGTGCTTCGTTTTTGTTAAAACACACCAAAATATTGATATCCGTACGTGTGCCTAAAATAAAAGTCGAATGTTAAGTCGATCAGTACACTTTTTAAAAAAAAAACCAAGTTATTTTAAAATTATATTTATGATTCAAAGCTAACTAAACAGACTGCATTTTGAGTTAGCCAAAATTGAAGATAGGCGAATGGGAGCAAGTAGCAAACCTGGTGAGTAAAGTAGAGGTGCAGAATTATTCGACGATTGTACCCACTACCTGAATTCCTCGAGATATTTTTTGAACAAGCTTTACCGTACTACTCATTATTACACACATAATTTAGTAAAATGTGCCATTTGCTTCAACTATCCAGAATAAAGCTGAAGAATTATCTGTAGCAGAAAGCAGCTGTAGATAATTTAGAAATCTGCACTCACAACGATTCGCGCAAATGGAGTTTCAATTAAACTAGTAAGTACAATTTACATGTAAATTTTTACCATAGCGGAAGCAAACGAATAACAGAACTTTTGAAGTATTTGCTTTGCATTTGTGTCTACTAAAATCCACAGATGGCATCAGACATTTTTTACAGAAATATGTTGACAGTAGCTTTCAAAGTTGCCAAGGTAACTTCTAAGACGGCATTTAAATCAGAATAATAAAGCATGTGTTTTAAAACAACATGTAAATGCTATGGACCAATGTGATGGCACGTAATTTGAAGTTTCCAAACAATCATTAATCGGATATTCAGCATACCACACTAAGCTAAAAGTAAGTCTGTTAATTTCGACAATCGATTTTTATTCTTCACTGACTGCACATCTATGGAAACCAATCAAAAGACTATTGTTAATTATACAGCGTCAAGATCCCGATTTACGATCTGTAAAACCTTACCTTCGACCTAATACCCAGTTTCACATAGTGATGCAAAAAGATTTCTTCCACTATCACTAGCTCTACTGTCATAGAATACGTTTAAAAATTTATTATTTTAATTTTTCAAGAAGTCCAAACAACCTGTTATATTTGTTTGCAAATTGCAATGACAGGGATTGCTTCTCATCGAAAAATATTAGTCTATCGAGGAAAACGCATGTTAATGAAGTATCTGACTTAATTTAAAAGAATAGAGTGTGAAGAATATGGATGAAGAGAAATAATGCAACTGAAAAAAAAATTAATGCCATCCAAGTTTGTGTTTGTCGGTCTTTTCAAAACAAAAAAACCTTAAGAAATTAGGCAGACTCTTGATTCAAATCATTGCGAAAACAACGCGATAAAATGAACGATGGTTTGTGGTAACTGAGCCTCTTTGTTCCGATAGGTTTGCCAATATCGTCGATGATGCAGTCGGTGGAATGCAGAGTTGAGGCTGGTTTCAAGGGTTGATGTAAATATGGTTATTGGAGAGATAGTAACAGTTTAAATGGCAGTTTTAGATACTTCGCTATAATTTGGAGAGTGAGATTTAGTCCATGTGGATGCAGTGGTTGAATAGTGGTAGTCTTCGGAGTGCTGGCCGTCGTTGATTTGGCAGCTGTCGTTGATGAAGTGGAGGTTGTTGGTCTGTTAGCAGTTGCTTTTGTGGTACTAGCTGCTGTGAAGATAGACTTAGGGGAAGTGGTGTCAGTGGTTGCTTTTGTGGTGGTAGAACTTGGTGTGGTATTTGTCATTTTATAGGTGGAAGATGGCATGGTGATAGTCATTGGCGTGGTGGAAGTAGTTGGAGTAGTTGGTGTTGAGGTGGTCGTTGGCATGGTGGTAGTAGTTGCAGTAGTTGTAGTAGTAGGCGTTGAGGAAGAAGTTGTTGGTGTAGAAGTAGTTGTCATTGTGGTAGAAGTCGTCGGTGTGATAGTAGTTGTCGTTGTTGAGGAGATCGTTGGCATGGCGGTTGCAGGTTTAGTGGTTGTAGTAGCAGGTTTTGTGGAAGAAATTGTTGGTGTAGTTGCAGTTGCCGTTGTGCTAGAATTCGTTGGTGTAGTAGTAGTTGATGTTTTTGAGGTGGTCGTTGGCATAGTGGTAGCCCCTGAAGTGCTGGCAGTTGCTGAGTTGTTAGTTGTCGTTGATAAGTTGGAGATTGTTGGTGTGGTTGTTCCCATTGCAGTAGTCTGTGTTGTGGTGGTGGCAGTTGCTCGTGAAGTGGCCGTAGTCGGTTTGGTGACAGTCGCTGTTGTTGAAATCTTTGGTTTGGGAGTAGTCACTGTCGTTGGTGATGAAGTCGTGGGGATAGTGGTTATTGATATAGTTGTAGGCATTTCAGGGGTAGTATTGTTTGCTTTTGTGGTTGGTGTCTTTAATGTAGTGGCAGCCATAAGAGTGATGGTGCTACCTGCTCCTGTGGTTGCTGTGGTTGTTGTGGCAGTCATTGCAGTGGTGGTAATAGTCGGCGTGATGGTAGCAGTTGGTGCGGTGGTAGAAGTTGATGGCGCGGAAGTTTTAGATGATTTCGTGGTAGAATTAATTGCTGTAGTTGGCCATGGTGTAGAGGCAGTCATAGTTGAGGTGGCACTCATTTGTGAAGTTAAAGATGATGTATTGGTGGCACCAGTTTCTTTTGTAGTTAAGATAGTTCGTGTGGTGATTGTCATCAATGTTGCTGTAGTCGTTGGAGCTGCAGTAGCACTTGTTTTTGTGACTGGAGCAATCGGTGTACTTATTGTAGTTCCAGTAGTGGTCATTGGTGTGGTAGTTGTCATTGTTGCAGTAGTCGTGGGCGCCATGGTATTCGTTGTACTTGATGATCTCGTGGTAATCTTCGTTGTTGTCGTCGGTGGTATCTGCACGCATTGGTTCCGAAAGCACTGGAATCCTTCAGGGCAAGCGATGCAGCTATTTCCCTGCTCGTAAGGTCTTCCTTCTGTTATATTTTCTCTTTAAAATAACATGTAAACAGAATCAAATCATTTTTTGCATTATTGTGAGTTTCATGCAGCAAGCTATTTAAAGGTATGATATAATTTCTTTGACTGAAAAGGAACGTAGATACGAGGTTATTAAATCAAGATTTATTTAGCTGTCACAGAACATCCGTATCAAATTTTTAAACCTGTAACCTGTCTCTATTTTACAATTTTAGGTTACCGTGGATCAGACTGCCGAAGTATTCTGTAGATTTGAAAAGCGATAAAATACTAGTGCTATGGTGTTTAGTAAAATCTGACAGTTATTCATTTTTGCAAGCCAGTCTAAAGGAAACGACTAATTTTGTCTTTTTAATCTGGCTGCAATTTTCTTTACACACGCAGACAGTCTGAGGAGGTGAGATGAGAACACAGATCCATAATGCTCCTGTAATTATTGGTCTACTAGACTATTCATTTATACACTTGTGAACCTACAGGGAACAGAAATGCAAAGCGCACACAAATTTATCCCGTTTGTAGCAGTTCGAATTGAGTGCATTTTATGGGTGAACTAAGGAAAATCCTATGACTTACGCAGGTTCGTATTGACAGGCCGTAAGAAATATTGGCCTAGGCCACTCGAGATTAATCTGGTCGCATTGCTTCATCGCACATCCGAGTCTTAATGTAGTTGCCGATACCATCTGTAAACCAACAAGTGTCAGTAATTAGCAACTAAACAGAATTTTAGAATAATTATCACTAACGCACCATAATTATTTAAAATGTCATCAAAAGACCATCAAAATGACTCATTGCAACCATCGATTTGCTGTCACTATAGTTTGTAATTACAACAAGAGTAAAACCCAATATCAGCTCAAATCGTCAGAGGTTTATAACAGCAAATTGAAAGAATCATACTTCCTCTGAAGAACAGGCTTAAACAAGCGAGCAGACTGACAACTCAGGAATATTTTTTAAGTGTTTCTTTTACCATTTCTATAAATCTTGACTTGTTATGGACTAGTTCTTTAACATTTGTTATTCCCTTCTACTTGCAAGATATTGCTCACTTTAACTTTGGTGATAGTTTCATCAATTTAACAATCTTACAGCATTAGACCTGTCATATTGACAATGGAGAAAATGAATTTTTTTACGAACTGGACACAATATACACAGGTCACTTACTTGAGTGTAGTGACTGCACACCCTTGAGCAGGAATTGTTGGCATAGCTATAGTACTTTCTTTCTTTGTACCAGTCTTGAACAATTTGTGTTAGATTCGGAGTGTAACCCCCAGAAAGTGCAAGGTTTTGACCAATATTTTTGTATAGTGGAAATTTCGACACATTTGGATGGTTGAATTCACAACGGTTGACCCATTTCAGTGCTAATCCCTCCATCTTAAGAGAATAACTCTAAAGCCAGACAAAACAATCAACCATTATTTTGCAAATCTGGTATTGTTACCTTAATTATGCCAGTTTTCTCACTGCTAACTTGAAACATTTTCACTACAATGCATTGTATGGCAATGGAGGTGTCTTTCACGTTATACGAAGGTTGTCTTTAACCTGTAGCACAAATGAATCATTGAGGTGTCAAACGAAGACGTGATCTACAAGCTTTGCTGCCAGCAGATAACTGTTTTTAGGTCTGACATCTCCGGCTTGTACGACTGCAGTAGTTGCAAATTTTTTGCGAGCTGGGCACTACAATTTGAACGTTTGTCAACCCTTCACCAATTTTCATTTATGTGCGCACTAAGGCAATTAATAATAAATTGCATTTTAAACGAAATTGTCCAAACATCACTTACCATCAGCATCATGTTTCTTGCAGGTGGAATGACTGTGGCACGAGCTTGCACATGAAGTTCGAGTATTGCGTTACGGTCTTCCTGCAATGGAGCATTAGCCATCACATTGGACAACAACATCATCAAGCTGACACAAATTTTCATCTCTCCTGATAAGAATGTTGGCGAAATGAATGCTAGCTTCAACGAGAATTGACCGTAATTGCATCGCAATGACTAATGAAAGTGTGCAGAGGTTTTATCCAATTATGTAAGTGATTGCAAATTATGGCAATTAATTGACTTTTATGCATTCTTACTGAGCAATCATTAAATTAGTCTTTTAATTATAGCTGGTGCAGTAATGAAGAAGACTCCGGTTACATTTTGCTTACTTGTGTGACGTGGTGCGTGTCGGTAGAACTGGTACGTGAACAACTGGCACTTTACATAGAAAGGGAATGCGTGAGAACTAGTCGATCAAAGACTCCATGATCATTGTCATTTTAAGCAAAAAACATGCCTTACTGTTCAATAACCTGTTATTCGTGGTACATCGCACAAAAGGAATATTCCGTCATGATTAAACATTCGCCAATTGATTGATAATTAATATCACAATAGATGACTGCTTTAACTAACATTCGTCTAGACCCATTCAACAAGTATTTAAGGATGCGCTTTTGCAGAAGAACAATGGTGGCAGCAAATGCACTAAGATGGCTCAAAATGAATTCCTCACATTTCGCAACTAAGTGGCCGGCATGTCATTCTGGATTCCTGTTTGTCTAACACCGCCAGGCATGATAACACATACCAGACATAACATAGGCGCAAGCGGAATTTAAGTCACAATTAAAGCTTAGAAATTTCAAACTCTGTAAACTTGAGCGCAGCATAAATTTTTCCTTTTGCCTACTTAGTGTTTGCACTGAGCATGAATCTGCATGCTGAGACAGAACGCGTTTTTGCAATAATATTTTGTTTGTCGGAATAAAATATTCCTTGTCAGTAAAAAGCCTAGAAATTTAGAAGCAGCAAAGCTCTCCTTACCAGAGATCATCTGATACTACTTTTAAATATTAAATGGCAATAAATGTGTATGAGTGGTAGCGAATCATCTAATTCAATACAAACTATGATGGCTGTGCTAAGGACCAAATGGGTAAATACACGAAAATGTTCTGCATGGCGAATAAAAGTCGGGGGAGTTTTAAAGTTTATTATAATTTTGCATAAGCGAATAAGATCAGAAAAGTCAATTTAGTATGGAACTATTGTAAAATAATCTTTACTCAATTGTGGCGAATAAAGTTGTGAGATAGTATAAATCAGAGCAGTTTGGTTTTTTAACAGATCAGTTTGATACTGTTGTGGATCGTGTTGATTTACACTCTCTAATCCGATCAAAGGTTCCCCATTTTGGCTGTATATTGCAACATGTCCTCAACTCCCAGCTCATTCACGCGAATATTTAGCTTAGATTATCCCCACACCTAGGTCTCGATGTTAGCTCATGCATGAGTTGCATATCTGAGGTATAAATACACACGCGCAAAAGCCACGCACGACACATCGACACTAGTTTTGGTTGAAGTCTGAAGTAAACACTTGTGTCCACATCATCACCCGCCTTTTCTTTATCGTGGGTATCAGGGGATCGTTATCGGGCCAGGGTTAATTCCGTGGCCCCGGTGTGATTCAAGTCCATATGCTAGAGCCTACAGCTTTGTATTTCCCATTTGTGACTCATGTTATGTCATTACAAACTGCCTTATTGTAGTTTGCAAGCACTATGCAAGCACAAGTTCTTTTACTACCTTTAAGTGCGCCAATATCTACAAGGTCACATTAAGTGTTTTTTAACAACTATTAAGAATCATAAAGTTTGCACCTCTTAGGCTTTAATGCAGAGCGTCAAATAGGATTAAAGACTACTCACTAAGGAGACGTGAAGACGATTTGCAATGGACCAATGCAGTCTATCCCATTTTCACAACTATTTAACCAACGTGCAACCCACGTTGGTTCTTGTGCAGCTAAAAATGAATTTTTCGGTTGACCATAAAATAATTAATATAAATGTTATGCATATGGTAGGTATCTATGGCCATGCTCCACAGAAGTGCAGAGGAAACTCACAGCCTTATACCTGCTGAAATAAAATCCCAGGTTGATGCAAATACAGACTAAACATGTTCAGATTTTTCGGTTCGAAATTAAATTTTTTGAAGAGGAAATGTCCCCAGCATTGTTGGATCTTCGTGCGCAATCAGCGGTTTCTAATAGCGTCTTGCATTACCGTATTTGCATGCTGTTTCCTAAAAAAAGTAGTGAGCTATTTTTACTTTTCGCTTAATCGGATCAGATCAACTTTGATCAACATGTAATTGAAATAAGCAGACTAAATCCAAAAAACGGGCTCCTCAGTACAGGTTATTAGCGGAACTTGTTAATAGTGCGCCTGGTTTTCCGAAATATGATGCTCGTGAATACCCGATTATCTGTCAATTGATCTCTGATTGAGGATACTATCAATTGGTCTGATTGAACGAAAGAAAATATTATTGAAATGTCATAGATGCAAGTGAGTTAATCCTATACTGATTTCAACATGTCTAACACTTGCTGTGAATCGCGTTTATTCACACTAGTCACTCCAGCCTCCGACACGGGGTCCCCTCTTCTCAGCATGTGGCCAATCGTGCGGACCCTCAAATCACCCCTCATTAGCGCTAATGACTACCCCACATTATTCTCACACATCTGAGGTATAAATACACGCGCACAAACTTTCCACACGACGCAATCACACCTCCGTGGTTGAGCTCTGATGTAAACAGTTGTGTCCACGTCCTCTCCAAATCTTCTTCGTGATGGGGGGTAGGAGGGAATCGTAATTATGGCAGATCCAAATCTGTAGCCCCGGTGTGATTCAAGGCCACATGCTGGGGCCCACAACACATTTATGCCAAACGATAGGTCTCTTATAATGTGTGAAAGAAATATTATAGTCATTGTTAGTGGTTGCTAGAGGATTCTGGTAATTAAAACGAAATATCTGAATCAAAAGTTATCGAAAGCAACGAGCGAGGTAGAATTCACACAATTTACTTGTTAGATTAACTTTTTATTCCAAATTTGTCAGAAGGATATGGTGAACAAATTCAAGAAATTTTAGACATCGGAGTGGCCCAATCTTTTATATTCACAAAACAAATTCTTTTCCTACAAATCAGTTGAAGTTGGCATAATTGATACTCTTTACACCCTTGTAAGTTCAACACAACTAGGAAATAAATTTTATGGCTCATTTATGACTGACACTCTGCCAAATTACAGGATTAAATACCTTTTATTTGAAGGTTGAAATAGCGCTTCTGCACCACTAAAAGTGTTACGCAAGCACATATTCTTTTAAAGTGCGCCAGAATCAACAAGGTTGAGTTGAGTGATGTTTCAATGATGTCGAAAAGTAAGACGTATGCTCGGTAATACCTCAAATCCACAATTGTGTTCGCTCAGATTTTACTAGTTTGAAATCTGAAGATATCTGCAACTGAAAGAATCTAAATAGAGGTACATCATGTACTAAATCCGGAGAATCTGAAACGTAAGATTTCAGAATTAAATGAAATCCATGATTTCATAATTTACAAATTTTGCATCTCGCATTATTAGTGTTATGAAATATAGGAATAACCAATTATTTATTAAACTGATTTTGCGTGGCAGCTAGCCTGTACTTTCAATCCGATCGGTTCCAAAAATCAATTTTTTGATTATTATTATAAAGATAGGCAGTGGAGGTAATTCTGTGGAGGTACCTTTTACCGTTTTCATCGCGATAAAATGAGGTTCGCGCAGAATGACCTGGCTCCACAAATAAGTCCGATGAAATGCCATGATGTTGTGGCCGAATACGTGTTTGCTGATGTAAGTTCTCTTAATTGAGGCAGTGTCTTATTTTTATTCGCAGTCTTTGCTGAAATTGTGCTACTAAAACCATGTTAGTGTAGAATCTGGGCACGTCAGAATTACAATCCGAATGAGAGAAGTACCACTCCTCTCGCCACCAAAAGGCGGTTTTAAAAGGGTTGTCTACAATGAGGCAAAATTATTGGATTTGAGGTGATATGTTGACATCACAAACAACCAGATAAAATCAATATGGAGTGAACCACGTGGGTGTGATATACGCATTAGTACGATGTGGTTCTAGTATGTATGCGTGGTATTCGCTTTTTCCTTGATCGGTTCATAAATACTCCACGAAGAAGAGGAAGCGGACAGTGATGCATGCTTGCAAATGTCTGATCCAAGCCCCTTCTCTTCAACTTTCAAATTCTCGCATTTTAAAAAGTCAAATCAAGATTTTACCCTAACTGACCAATCGGCACTATAGAGACATCAAATTATCCCTAGAATTCTTTCAATGAATTTGATCTAACGTGATATGATGCACGTCAAAAGGCAGAAAGAAAAGTCTGTAATGCACAACCCTTCACAACTGAATAAAACTAATGTGAGGAAATACAAAACGTCAGTTGCAACGATCTGAAAATTGTTCACATATTTCCGAATGAATCGCTCCTACATGTTCTGCTTTAAGCAGACATAATGGCAATATCTCTTCTGCGTAAAGCGTTGGGCAATAACGGTTATGAGATGGACTTCGGCATACGGAATTTGACATGTGGGTGTCCTTCACGGCATATGGTATTCTTCTCGATTTGACGACGATGAATTTGACGAGTACACGAAGCACTAAAACGTGGACGATTAAATTACCACTCCAAAATAACAACCAAAATCCAGTACCAAAATACAATAGGTGAAAATGCCAATAATGCGGCCATGGTAATTCTGTGCAGGTACCTTTAACCGTTTACAGCATGACAAAATCATGTTCCTGGCCTTGCTCCACAAATTCGTCCAATGAAGTGTCAAGATATTGTAGCCTAGCTTGTACTTGCTAATGTAGGACGGTGCATTAAGTTCTCGTAATTTAAAGAATATCGTGTTATTATTACAATCGATGCCGTAATTTTACTACTAATACCGCGTTAGTAGGAAAGCGAAGCACGTAAAAATTGTGACCACGATTATCGAAGTACCATTGCTCTCTAACGGCTGTTATAAGTTGCCAAGCAAAACCTGAGAAT